GGTTCCAAAATTATATTTGTAACCGACGGTTCCATTTACTAAATACCCGAAAATTTCTGGAACCGAAAAAAACCGAACCGAACCGAACCGAACCGACCCGCGCCCACCCCTAATTTCAACCATAATTTTTTTTCTTGAATCTCAATGGTTTAACATAAAGTTGGCTCTAATACCACTAGTTAGATTATATTAAATTTTAAATCTCAAAAACATTTAAACCCAATTGCTTTATTGCCAAAATCTTCCATGCCAAATCATTAAGAGAATTATAAAGTGTGGAAGATATCTTAATTCATTGGAAATGTTTCTTTAATATTTGATCTTGATTCTGGATCTTAAATCTTGATTATTGGCTCTTTTGATCCTTGAGTTTTTGTTCTTGATTTTGACTTCTTGCTCTATAATCTTGATTGCTTTAATACCTTCTTCTTGATTATTGATTTTCACTTCTTGATTGTGGATTTTTTATCTTTCTCTTCAATATGTTTTCTCTTATTTTTTTGTGTTGATTGGATGACACGAGAAATGAGAAATTACATATAAATTGAGAACCATAACTTATATATAATTTTCACACACACACACACACACGTATATATATATATATAGCACATCGTCAAATACAACTTTAATGGATTCGGTATCTACACATTTAATTAGACCTACACTTTATTTAGATACCCAATCCCTGATTACTTAATACTTTATTATATCACTTTAATTTTAGACTTAATTTTAAGATATCATTTATTCACACTTTTAATCACACATGTACCTGCACATGACAAATTAATATTTTTCATAACAAGTTTGTCACATTGTGTTGTCTTTGAACACCGAGTTCATACGGAAAATAGCAAATGTCCGTTTTTGAGCATCAACAGATAGAGTAATTAGTTAAAGTTTTGAAGTAAAATAGTATCTTCTGTTAATTTTCATTTTATCTTAGTGATTTGTGTTGTCGGTGACAATTTGTAAAGAAAGTAAGAACAAATTAAAAGATTTGAAAAATCCCATTCGAAGAATATTTCATTTGATTCGGATTCCACTAACAAAAATTAATATGGCAGACCAAATTCTTGTACCATCTGAATCAAACTTTGGTACCTACAATCTCACATCTTTTGATCTTCTTTTTAAGTTAAAAAAGTTAGTGGAATCACTCTTTATTTGAGAATATCTTTGTTTTTTTTGAGTGTTTTTGAATCAGTTTCTATGATCCAATCAAATTGTGGAATGTTTTTCGGAAGTCCAAAAATATTGGCTGCTAATTGGTCTCTAAATCTATGGCGTGCACAAATGATTTGATGTGATATGACATATACATCACATTTTGTCGTGCAGTTTGAATTATGTAATGAAGGTTACGATAAGTATAAACTACATTACAAACTTGTGTTTGACAAAAACATCATAATAACATTTCTACAAAACTTTAGTTACATCTGTACAAAATGGTTTAGTCCTAATCAAATTTCAAAATAAACATAATGCTGTAGAGTGGTCTTAGGAGATAGTAATTGTCAATTTATAGCTGCTGGATCTACTAAGCTGAGTGGAATATAGGCTTTAGTGATATGTTAGTTCTGGATTATAAAGTACTATGTAGGATTAAATATCTGTTTGACAATCATTATTTGGGAAAAATAGAATTTGAATAGTAATTTTAAGGAGATTGTCTAGTCAAAAAGTCGGGAAATGTTTTAGATTTACGTATAGAACATTTTGTTGTGATTGAAAATGAGAGTGTAAAAAAAAATACTAGTTTGAAAACAATGATTGTGAAAAAGGGCTAGAAAGGAAATACGAGTTAAAATTTTGTGAATTAAGCTAGTTGTACATCCACTAGTTTGACACCCTTTGACGTATCAAAATCGAAATCATTGATTTGAATAAGTGTTATTAAAATCAATAGTAAAATTGTATGTCATATCAGAGAGTGTTAACAAAGCTGTCAATTATGGTGTAAGTGTAGCAAAATTGAAATTTTGAGTGTGGTCATGTGCAAAAATATGTCCTACTAGACGGGTAAATCTTAGGGGTAATAGAGGGCTTCTCATTAACTTTGTTTATAGAACTGGGTTTCTAATCTTGCATCAAGAAATACAGGTGGTCTGCTATATTCTTCTGGCTGAATTTTGATTTGGGATGCCTTAGTTAAAGGTCGTAAGTTGGATTTATCGACCCAACTCATTTGGCTTCTGAACACGCCAAAACTGCTAATATCCGAAACTTAAATTAGAGGAAGAATATGGCCGGTAGGTTGATTACAACCACCCTAAGGCCTCGACTTTACACTTGGACCAAAAAGGGCACAAAAAAAAAAAAACGAAAGAAAGGAAATCCAGAAGTCCAGAGACAAGCCCATTAGTGAGAATGGTGATACAATTCACTGCAAGCTAATAATAATAAAAAAAAAAAATACACACACACACAGAGTTAAGATCGCAACTTGAGTATTGAAGATCATTAACAAAGAAAATGAAGCCGAAATCTTGTTTAGCCCCCTATTTGACATCTTTTATTTCAATTTTTTTTTTTACGTACTCATTTTCAATTACATTCAAACAAAAAAGCCCCCATTCGGCCCCCATTAATTTATAATACATTTTTTCTTTTTCTTTTTCTTTTTTTAATCACACATTATTCAATAAAATAATATTACACATAAACTAATTTTTTTTCCTTCAACCACGTATTCTTCAAAAAAATATTATCTCTCTTTATAATTTGAAATAATGAAGCCCAAACAGAGGCAAAATATTCTGCATGCATATCCAATACTTTTTTCTACTTTTTAATTACACATTCTCCAAAATTCACTACTCAAAAGATTGTAAATCCCAAGTAATGGCCATCAAATAGGTGCTTAATATAGTGCCTTGCCATGTAACAAACAGGGGTAGCAACTCTCAAGAACAGGATTAAGTCCTCATTTTCCTACCGTAGTTTCTTCATGAGATTTCACAAACTAGTGTAGGCTTCCTAACTCCCAACATTATAAGCAATGCCAATGTATGACAAACGAAAAGCAACATTGGCATATAGAAAGCTCACATTTTTCTGTTCGGCCTTTGCACAAGAATGCCAAGAGTAGAAACAGATCAAGACCACAAACGTACTAGTAGCTAGCAAAAATATTGACACAGATTCAGCTAACAGATGTTTCTAGTCTTCTAAACAAAATGAATTCATTGTATTTTATGCTAAGAATCAGAACCAGTAAAATCAAAGAGTATAGACCTGTATCTTACATCATATTCTGTTGACATTAAGAAATCTCTATGACCTATATGGAATTGAGGAAATCTGTTTCTTAATCTTCTTGACTATATTCAATTCAGTCAAACTTTGGGTTAGACTTGACTGACTAATAACTGGTAAGTATTTTGAGTCTCGACAACACGATTTAAAAAAAAAAAAAAAAAAGGAATGACGAAATTCCACTTGTGTTCAATGTGTCAATCTCCTTCAATTATAGCGTTGCCCAACTGAAAAGACCCTCATGCTAACTGTATCTCCAGCAACCTGAACATCCATCTAAAATTTCCAATATATTCTAAATCTGCAGGTTAGTGTTGCCTAACTTGGCAAGTAAATTTTCTTACCTTCCTCGACTTTAGACCATTCATGTGTCACTAACCCATCATCAATCTCATCCACCCTGGTAACAGAAACACTCGGCAATACCTCTTCCTTAATAACTCCTCCATTTGGTATGATCGGCTCCTCTTGAGAGACTGTTATCACCTGAAGAAGTTCCAATGGGGTAGCTGCTGGATCCAGTTCCAAGCAACCTCTTGGCGCATTTTGACCTTCTTGACCAGTAAGCAAGTGATAGGGGACCTGATGAGAAAATCGGAACATCTCTTCTTTGGGGATTCTCTTGACCATTTCTGGCTCCAAATTTGGACGAAATACTGTCATAAAACCAATCACCTTCATAAGAGGAGCAACAGGCACACCCTGTTCTTCATAATCATCAAGCACCATCACCATGTCATAACTGTGTATAACTTCATCAGGAGTATGTTCGTTCCAATCAGAAGACCAATTTTTATAGAGTGCCCAAACATCACTCTTTTTCGGAAATATTTGAATAGTCCCTCGTGGGCCTTTTGACCAGAGAACCTTCTGAGAAAAAGAATTAATAGAAGTGCATATTTCATATCTGCCAACTCTAAATTCCCCACAGGTTTTGTAGAAGCCCGATCCTACCCAGTCTATGGGACCAAATTCGCTGTTAGTTTTTGAGTTTAGCCAACTGATCCTCACCTTAAATGGGTTTCTAGATATCACCTTGTTAATTAGGGCATAAAAACGCGGCATACTATCATCATCATCATAAGCAGCCCAAACTTCGTTATCTTCGAAAGAACTTTCACTTCTACCCTTGTCAAAATCATGAAAGTCAGAATCTGGAACATTCAGTGATACTGACATGATATCCTTCTTATCTGCATTATCAGCAGAACAACTAACACGACGCCTGTCTGCCTGCTCTTCTACCTCGGACAACAACCCAACTTTCCGATTATGGGTGCTTTTATGCTTCTCTCTCTTGCTTTCTTCCGCTTTCTTGCTCTCTCTATTCACAGTGTTGCTCGGAGTCCCTGATTTCCATTCTTTTAGCTTCTTCAGAATCTCCTTTTGAGCCTTCTCTATCAGCATCTTTCGGGTTTCAAGCAGTGTCAGCTCTCTAGTGCTGTTTGGCTGACTGTAAGTGCCAGGAAAATGATAGATCCTTGATCCTGATGTACCTGCTCTTCCAATACCACCGTTTTCCTGGCCCACATTATTGTTCATGCCATACCGATAGCCATCATTATCTAGTTTTTTTCTTTTAATATCTCCCTCCAAACCAGTAGGGGTATGTGATTCAGTATATGCTCTCTTCAATTTTTGCTGTACTTGCTTTAAAACATTTGCTGCTTTTGTTGCAATAGAAGGATCCTTGCCACCAACACCAACTGCTCCAGATAGTGAATCCTGCTGGATGTTTCCATGCTTGAATGAATTCGGACCCACTTGTCCTGGTCCTGATTTTTTAGCAGCTGCACCATTTCTTCCTGTATCAAAAGCATTCCAACTAGGTGCATGACTACTTGAATTTTGATGCTGCTGGGGAGCAGCAGGATTGGAAGAATTGGATCGGTTGAAAGGTGAAGCTGCCTCAGAAGCCAAAAAGGCCTTGTGACAATTGGGACAAAGAAGAGTATGGTTAAGATATATCTTAAGATACTCATAATGCATCATGCATCGATGACAGATTGTCCAGAAAGTATCAGTTCTGGGATGGGATGGAGTAGGAACAGATGCAGGGGACACCTTTGCCCCATTGTTTTTGGTCTTCAGAACTGATGTTGTCCTACTTGCAACATTATGATATCCATTTCCAAAGGATGCTGCTGACGGACCACCCGCGTGCATGGGAACTTTCTGTTGGATTCCTCTAGAATCCCTCCTTTGATTATAAGCAAACCTCTTGGCTGTATCAGATAAAAAGCTCCAGGCTTCTGAAAGAAGCTTAAATGCTCCATCAGCACCAACAATTTTATTTTTATCAGGGTGAAGCAGGAGAGCCAACTTCCTGTATTGTTTTCTTATTGTTTGATCATCACAGGATGGATTTACACCAAGTACTCTATACCAGTCTACTTCCCCATTAATTTTGTTCTCCCCAGAAATATACACATCAAGTGTTGTCAACAACTGGGTAATGCCCTCAAGTCCTGGAAATAAATTATGTGCTTTCAAAGCAAATTTTCTTGCACCAGCAAAATCTTTTTTCACTAACTTGTCCTCAGCAATTGTTTTTGCTCTTAGGGCTTCATCTCTGTTGCACTCCATAGTTTCACAATTATGTGGCTCCCAAACGTTCACCTGATAATTGATTTCACTCTCTCAAAATGGCATAATAATAGTTGAAACGCCTAAAGATCTGCTGAATGATACAAAAGTCTAATGTTGAGTCCTAAGAATCTTCCCAGAACAAAGATTCTCTTAAATCTCAATCGTCAAACACCTGACTCATAGCAAAAGAGAAAACTGAAGTGATTATGAAAAACACGAATAATGACACAGTGCGATAAACTATAAAATGTGTAGGCAATTGACATTAATACAGAATCCTCAATCCTAAATAGATGTATAATATAAGGCCCTGTTTGGTAAACATTATTTTTTTCATTCTCATTCTTCTACTCATTTTCAACCATACATTCTTCAATAAAATAATATTTCCATCACATCAATAACTTTTCCTTCTTTTTCAACCACAAATTCTCCATCAATCTACTATTCCAGAATACATTCTTCCAAAATAATGTGGATCAAACACACAGCTCAAACGAGCCATAATCAAGCAACTCCTCAATCATCTGCTCTATATGATCATCTTCCAAAGGCTTGAATTGTTCCTCATTACTCCCTGCTGGGCTTTCACAATTCNAAAAACAAGAAATGACCCACAACAGTTCTCAAATACAAATCTTAGGTTGGTAGTTGAAACTGCCCCACTTACATCAGGTCAACTTAATGCAGGAAAAAATAAATAAATAGAAGCCAAGCGGTGGATCTCATGGTGAAACGTAGATAGAAATACCTAGATGCAGTATGAGTTGGCATTCAAAATTCAACTTCAAACACACCTCTACAGTACCTAAATAAGTCGTCTCAATATTTTGAAACATATCCATTTCTCAACAACCAAATGAAGATCCATAAACCATGATTTACAAGAATTTTATTCCTTTTAACATTCAGCAGCATGTATAAACACGTAAAGATGTACTGCGAGAGGCTTAGCTGGTACATTATTACTCTTTTTCCGAGCAAGAACTCATATGCAAATTACTTTAACGTGCACGATAAAAGAGAAGAACAAAGAAACAATATAAAGCAAACTAAGAATTATCATAAGCTTAATTAAAAAGCTCTAATCGTATGTAGCAATTCAAGTTACAATTACAGCAACAAAATTACCCAAACATCCGGATACACGAAAATTACATAGTCTCAATCGATCTGAACAAATTAAAGTTATAAAACGAGTGTCGAAACTCAATTTCATTTCCAAATCTAAACTATCAATACTCCGGGCTGAAACCCTAGATTGAATACCAACATTTTTGCTCTACACACAGAAAAAATCAATTGAAAATTGAAAAAGAAGGAAAAAATGATTACCCGTGAACAGTAGAATTTGAACCATCAGAAATTGAAATTTTTTCCCACCAAATTGAAATTGAAATTGGGGGAATGAAACTTTTGGTCAAAACCCCCCGAAGCTATAGGAGAAATCTGAAATGCCCAAAAACTTTCTGTAATTGGAATAAAGAATATTAGGTCGACGGTTTGCTTTTATATTTTTACATCAACTTTTGTTGTAAACCCTAACTCGAGTTAGAACTTAACTAGGGTTAATTAACCCTTTAGTCTCAAATATAAGTGATATTTGCAGCAGATGTCCCAAATCTTCCAAAGAAATACAGATATCAAATATTTAAATCACAATAAATAGGGAGAATTGCATATATGTCTCATATGTTTTAAGTTATAGCAGACGATACCCAAACTTTTAGTTTTTACACCACAGTCCCAAATCTTTTATCTCGAGAGGATTCAATATTTGTATTCTTCTTTTACAATACTGTAAGAAGTACAAATAAAAAATTGGGTATAATCTTCACTAAATTGAAAGGTTTGGGACCATAGTTCAATTTTCTCATTTTAATTTTGGCCCTCTCAAGTGGAGTAAACGTCTGTACTAATGAATGTACTTGGATGATCATCTAGGGGCTATTCCGCCAAAATGAAAGGATGGAGGTTTATTACGCAATAGAAACAAAGGTCAGGGTATTTTCCGCCAATTACCTTGAACTTTAATAGATACGAAATGAACTTTATTTTAATTTGAAGATCATTTGTGTTAAGTTTTAAATGTTATTAGCCATTTTTCAGAAATAATAATTATTATGAAAGAGTTATAAAAGTCAAATAATTTTTTAGTATATTGTAAAAGTGAAATAGGAGTCTTTGAGTTCGAGTAAAGGACAATGAAAAAAAGACGTCGAAATTTGGCTAGCCTACCGTACTTGGAGCGCTCGAACGGAAGCATCAAAATTTCAACAGAACCTTCGTCGCTAGCCGGCACTTGGCTGGTGCTCGAGCGATATTGCCGTAAGCTAGCGGTTTTTGGTATGGGCTCGAGTGGCGGCTTTATTCAGCAAAACCCTATTTCATGAGTTTAAGCTATTTTCTAATCCTAGTTCGAGTTAAATGTTGGTTGATCATTCTTATACAAGAGACGACATATTCGAAAATCTTACATTGATTCAATCAATTTTCTTGATTCAACCAAACATCAAAACTCAGATAATCAAAACACCAAAACACCCTCTTTTGCATAATTCGTCAGAGTTGTGAAGATCGAAAAAGGTGACCAAAGTTTCGACTGGAGAAGAATGAATTCGTGCTTGAAGATCCACAAGAGATAAAAGAGTCTAGAGTTATTGAGCTAGTGCTAAAGCATGGAGCCCAAAGAGTTCCTTAGTGTTACAGATAAGTGGTTAGAAAGTGCTAAGGTTTAGTCGAGTCTAAAAAGTCCGTAAGTCTTTATCGTTTATTGTGGATACCATTGGTTTGGGCCCAGAGTTTTTATCCCACGAGAGGTTTTCTCCGTCATCAGTTTTGTGATGTTTTTAATTTTTCTGTAATAGATCAACTTTCAATTTAGGATAGTATTACATGTGAATTCATCTGGATACAATTAATAATTGTGACTTATTACATTTATTAATTGGTAAAATTAAATTTCGCATAAAACACATATTCACCCCTCTAGGTGTTAGTTAGGTGAAACGTCATTATTTTCAAGTGGTATCAAAGTCTTATTTCGATTCCTGACCCTAACTTAATATAAATGAGCCTGTCTCTTTCCGTGCCTCTATATTTTTTACGGAAACAATTATGCATATTGGAAGGTTGGAATGAGAGTCTTTCTTAAGTCTCTGGAAGGTTAGTGTACAAAATGGTTGGACTGCCCCCTCTACTACTATTTCAGGTGTAGTTACCCTTACGAACATTTCCTTTTTGAATAAGGATTACCTAAGTGTAACTGGAATAGTAAGGGCTTCATGGCCTATTTATGGTTGTGTCCACGAAGAGTTTAGAAGAGTATAGATGTCTGAGATCACGAAAGAAGTTTGGGATATCTTAAAGACCACACACGAGGAAACCAAAACTGTAAGAACTTCAAACTGCAGAGGATGACCACTAGGTTTGAAGAAATTAGAATGAAGGACAATGAATCATTCGATAATTTCCATGGAAAATTAAATGACATATTAAACTCTAACTTCAACCTATGTGAGAAAATTTCAGAGTCTAAGATTGTTCGAAAAGTTTTTAGATTATTACCTAAGAGGTTTATACTTAAGATTACTGTTATTGAAGAGAGTAAGGACTTAGATGTATTTAAGTTAGAGGAACTTATAGGAATCCTCCAAACTTATGAATTAACCATATCTCATTCTGAGAAAAAGAAGTCAATAGCCTTAAATACTATTAGGAAAGGAAATGATGATACCCCGAATGATGAGAAGATATGATAAGTGCGTTTTTACATACTTATTTTACTGTCAAAATATGAGTAATTGTTGATTAATATGTTGGAACATTACTTAATTTTATACAATTCATATTTTGCAGGACAAAGTGATAAATGCAGCGAAATTGAGGAAAAATAAGTGAAAAATGGCCAAATTGGGGAAAGTTGAAGTTCAGGGACTAAAGGATAAATATTCTAAACTTGTTTCTAACCTTGGATGAAGATTCGAGAGTGTTAGAGGTCAATTGTATCAAAAAAGGAGTCAAATGGATGAAACATAGTCAAGACATTATTATATATCAATTTTTAAACTAAAAAGTTTTGCACCGATTTTCAGTTTTATATTGAGACCAGTTTTTTACATGGAAAACGATCGAATTCGAAGATGGAATCTGAAGCAAAATTGTAGCCCTTTGAGTTAGCTTTCCAAAGCATCTTAAATCTCCTTAATCAGATATCGGGAGATAAAGTTATGATGAAAATACAAAATACTATTCGGTGGAAAAATCTTAAACCTATGCGTTCACATATTACCTTTCAGAAATTTTTAGTGGCCAATTTCAGCCTTCTATGCGATTGCATAGGGTATTTTCAAGGCAAAAATTTTGGTTTCCGAATTTAAGTGAACTACTTATGGTAACTTATTTTGGCACGATTTCTAAAGCCTAAAACACCCGAGAACGGTCCAAAATGCCTCATTCTTCATTTTACACCATTCTTTCATTGATTTTGGCTCAAAAAATCCATGAAAAACTAAACCATTGGTGAAGTTAGGAAGTAACTCCTTCGGAATTGGTGATTTCATATCTATTTACTTTAAACCTTATGCTAATGTGTATCATTCTCAAATATTTGTCAAAATCAACTTGAAATAATTTCATTGAAATCATTCATTGGGCCCTTGACTCACCTACTATGCACCGGATAGAGCTCTGCACACTACCAATACCAATAATCAAATGGCCAATATGACATCGACACCGGCGAGTGGATCATCATCTTATGACCAATAGAGACTCATTCTCTAACTACCCCTATGATCTCCCCAGAAGTATCCCACCCGGCGCATCAATAATCATAATATCATAAAGGCACGGTCGAGTGGTCCACCCTCTTATGATCACCAAATGCCCATCCCCTACCTATCTTTAGAATCAATAAGGAAGTATCATCTACGGTTCCAAAACATATCACATCAGCATGCCTTGGTACCGTAGTAGTGGCCAATAAAATATTTTAT